CAGGGCACAAATAGCAGCAGTAGAAAAACCAGATGGTGCAGTCAAGCAAGCAGATGGTGCACTAGTATGTCACACTTATCACTGTCACTTACTTTTTTATTTCTATTACAGCAGACCTGTGGACAGTCCACACCTGTAATCAATATTGGTGGATTGGATTATTTTAGTTCAGTACACACTACGTTTCACATACTCCTAACAAATCTGCTTTGGAGGTGATTTCTCCCTGTAGTACTGCCAGGGCTCACATAGTCTTTGATGCAGTTAATTTTTTTTTCTTTTTTTTTTTTTGTGTAGAAACATATTTTTGGGAGCCAAGAAAAAAAAACTGGCCGTGTGTGTTTATCAGTACACAGGATCTAAAACAGAGCAGGAAACAGTTTTTGTGGCTCTTCTCTTAAAGCCTTTCCTTTTGCTGTGACCTGGCTATGTTTCCTTACGCTGTGCTGGCTGCTTCCCCACGCCTTGGATACTTACCCATGTGCCAGAAGCTCAATCTGCTTCTGAAAGCGAATCCGAAAGATGCGGGCGAGGAAGAATTTGATTTTTGACTCGGACTAGCTGGGGACAAGCAGGTGAGGGCCGCGGTTTTGTGCTGCCTTTGGGCAGGAGCTGTGGCAGGCTGTCCCTGCTGGCAGACACGAAGGCAGCGGGCCGGGCGGACATCTGAGGTGTCCCCTGCTGCCCCAGCAAAGCAGCCCGGGCTGGGGCAGCGTGTCCGCACTGCCCGGCCCCGCCCGGCCCCTCCCGGCCCCGCCCGGCCCCGCCCGGCCCCTCCCGGCCCCGCCCAGCCCTTCTCGGCCCTGCCCGGCCCCGCCCGGCCCCTCCCGGCCCCTCCCGGCCCCTCCCGGCCCTGCCCGGCCCCTCCCGGCCCCGCCCAGCCCTTCTCGGCCCTGCCCGGCCCCGCCCGGCCCCGCCCGGCCCCGCCCGGCCCCTCCCGGCCCCGCCCGCTCCGCAGCGGAGGCAGCTCCCAGAAACGTCCCTCACACACCGTGTCAGCTGGGCCAGTCTTTGTAAAAGCCCGTGGAGTTATCGCCACTTCTACATTCCAAAATTATTCTACCAAGAAATACTCCTTGTTGGTCTGCCTGCTTTCTTTTATTCTTTTTCTTCCCATCTCTGTTCTTCATAGTTATCCCTCATAGCCCTTTCCCCCCACTATTTCCCAGACATACCCTGTATATAGCTCTGACTATAAATACCTTCTGTATCTCTGCTGTTCCCCTGGGTGATTCCCTCTGGTCCTTGTCCTGCTCCTCCCCTTGGCCGGGGCTGCTGCAGTTGTTTCCATCAGCTGGTGACAGACACCCCCTGGCAGAGCTCCTTAGTTTCCGCCCTGCTGTGCCATTTCTCCTCCTTGCCCAGCAAGTGTGGTTTGGGACAATCTGGGGTTGTGGCAGCTCTGACCGCTCTGTCCTTCACAACAGAGGAGGGAGAGGGGACAGAGATGCATCCTTGCACGTCTCACCACACGCACCCTTTTGCAGTCTTTCACTTCCTCCCATGCATCTTCTCACGGCCCCTGCACGGCAGCTCTGATTGTAATTATCTATATTTATTTAGACAGATATCTATATTTATTTAGCCATTTGCTAGGCTCTGTGTGTTTGCTAAAGTAGCCTGCTGCTGTATGCACCCAGACCAGATGCTGCTGCCAAAATGCAGTAACTGTAGAGCTGCACCCCAGACAACTACTTTGGTCTATTTTTAACTAGTGGTTAAATATTAGGAAAACTGTCCGAGCCCATAATATTCTCCCTTCAGTCTCTTTTGAACAGTTTATGGCATAATTAGCTACAAAAAGGGAATGGGGGAGAGCTGCCTGCATGACCTTTTGTTGTTTCCAGTCTCCAGTATTAATTATTTTCCCTGCTACTCACACAGGATGTTTGATTCTTTCTTGTCATCCGAGCCAAAAGGATAAGATAACCAGAGCAGAGCCTTCTCAACCCTTCACTGCAGCCACTTATATTTGCTCCTTCCTACCTCGGAACAAAGGCATTGTCTATCTCCAACAAAGAAAGCTTTTCTCTGAAGTGTTTGCCAGGGATGTGAGTTAAACAGGCCTTTATAAAACCACACGCTCCTCGGAGAGCCCGACCCAGAGAACACTGCAGCAGCACTGGAGGAAGGGGCTGGTGCAGGAGGCTCTGCTGGGAGGGACACGACCTTGCCACAGCCAGGCAGGGCAGGGACACCAGTATCCCGCAGTCACCGACATGGGCAGGCTGCTCTTTGGAATGGAGTACTGAGGTACCCGGCTTTTTCCAGGTTACTGCCTCCCAGGAGGGAAACTGCAGCCAGCGTGGATCATCCCAAGGATCTCACTCGTGCGTTGCTTAGGCAGCTGCACTGCTGGGTGAAACCCATGGGGAAATCAGTGGGTGTAGGCACAAGTATAAAGAAGTAGGATAATGTTAACTGTTTTATTATTCACCTTGTTGCAGCCTTGGGAAGGGAAAGAAAGCAGGGAGAAATAGGAGTCGGGAGACAGGGAGAAGCTCTAAGGCTGCCAGGGCTGGGAGCTCAGGCTCTGTGGGGTTCAGAGCCCTGATATTCGATGTGAGGATGAAGGTGGTCCTTCCTCATCTAACACTGCCTCAGCTGGCAGCAGCAGACAAAGGCAAACTTAAGTGACTTTGGTAAGAGTTCCACGGATTTATTTAAAAACTTTAGTTGCCATTTTTAGCTCAGCAAGGCAAACATAATCAAGCACATTTTCCCTGTAGCACAAGGAGTACAGACCTGTAACATCACTTCTTTTAAGTGGTTCGTGGTCTTGCATCCACGAGCTGTAGCGAGAACTCCTGGGGAACTTGGAACACGTAGGCACAGTCTGTGGTGTGTGACATGGGAAACACCCTGTTGGGAATCAGCAGAAATGATTCCACTCTACTTCCATGTGACTGCTTCTTCCCTGGCAAGGCTGCTGTGCTGCCTTCAGATGCTGCTACTCAATTAAAAGTCTCTGCTGTCAATGACTAAGGCTGTGCGAGTGCTTTGAGCAGGAACTGCAAGTGTTACAACAAGCAGCAAGGAGAAAACCACAAGTCACTTCCCAACTACAGCAGAACAGGAAAACTTGCAAAATAGAACAGTAGTTTCCTAGTTTTACAATTCCCTGAAGGTTTTCTTGAAAAGGATCCATGCAATTGAGAGGCACAAACCCCGTGTCCCCACTCTGCTGCCTCAACTGTGCTTTTTAGTCACCAATGGCATTTTAACAAACCTTTTTCATTCTCTGGCACACAACTGATTCCCTTTTGTGAACAAAACTCTTTAATGTTAGAACTTGATTTGCAGTTTGAATTATCAGCATTTTCCTCAACATCACACAGCAGAAGCCAGGGCTCCAGCACAGCAAGTCTCATGCAAATACTGAGAGAGAGAGAAAACTGCTGGTAACATATGCATTGCACAAAGAGCTGGCCAGGGAGACCCTTTGAACTTGTGGTTTGATGGGCTGGGATGTGCTAGTGCTGGGAAAGCTGAAGGATGTGAAATGTGCAGTAATGGAGAGCAGGGATGAGCACAGTGCAGTGAAGCTTAGAAACTGCACGGCCAGCAGAGAAGGATGGGATTTGGAACAGCTATAATGGAAAAAATAAACCCCAGTGGCAAAATGAAGCTGACAGCAGAAGATGCCCATAGATTCAAGATGATTCTCTGTGTGGACACTTGAGGCTGTAACGTCTTGAGAAAGCAGGGAAGGAACAAACAGAGATAATTCAGCAGGATAAAATGCTTTTGTTATCCTTATTCTGTGTCAAGGAGGCCTAAGGGAAGGGTCAGGATAGTGCTGGCAAAGCCAGCAGCCCTCGGAGGCCTGCAGGACCCAGGTCCGTCCTGTCCCGGGGACACAACAGCTCTGAGCCCTCCCTGCGGACCCGGGTCCGTCCTGTCCCGGGGACACAGCTCTGAGCCCTCCCTACAGACCCGGGTCCGTCCTATCCCGGGGACACAGCTCTGAGCCCTCCCTGCCGACCCAGGCCCTCGCTGTCCCCTCGCAGCTCTGACAGCAGCTCTTGGTGCTGCTCAGTACAACCACAAATCCTGCTGGGAATCACAGGGCCAATACACTTCGGCTGCCACTGGAAAATGAAAACAACGGCTGGGGAGAGGAAAAACCGAAGAACACACATTTTTAATAGAATACATGTTGTGACTTGAAGGCTTTTAAGAGCTACATGCTGGGCTGGCCCAGGGGAGGCCTTCCAACACCAACGGATCCAATGATCCATAACACTGACCCTTCATGGATTTTGGGAGGGGATTTAGGGCTATTGGTAATCCCAAATCCTTCATCCGGCAGGCACCCGACCCCTTCCCTATCCTATGTGGCAGGCAGGACCTCGACGGGACAGCTGGCGGCGGGAGGCGGGGAGCGGCGGGGACAGGGCGCTTTCCCCTACGGGAGGCGGGGAGCGGCGGGGACAGGGCGCTTTCCCCTACGGGAGCGCTGGCGGCGGGAGCGGCGGGGACAGGGCGCTTTCCCAGACGGGAGCGCTGGCGGCGGGAGGCGGGGAGCGGCGGGGACAGGGCGCTTTCCCAGACGGGAGCGGTGGCGGCGGGAGCGGCGGGAGCGGCGGGAGCGGCGGGAGCGGCGGGAACGGCGGCGGTTGGCGGGAGCGCTCGTGCCGCGCCGCACGCACCGCGGAGGGGGGAGGGGAAAGCGGCGGCCCCGCCCCCCCGCGCGCGGGCATTCCCGGCCGCCGCCCACCCCCGACCTTTCCCCCAGTTTCCAGCGCGCGCTGCCCCGCCCCTGCCGGCCCCGCCCCCTCCCCGCCTTCCCGCCGGCCGTGCCCACGCGCCGCCCTTCCCGCCGGCACGCCGCGATCACGCCGCCCGCCGCCGCTCATTGGCCGGGCGCGAGCCGCGGCGGGCGCTGATTGGCCGGCGCCGTCCCTTCCGCGCTGTTTGGCGCAGGCTGCGCTCGGAGCGCTCCCTCGGCGCGCGGCCGCGCCGCTCCCGGCGGGCGGGGCCCGGAGGAGGCGGTGCCGCCGGGTGCCGCTCCCGCCGCTGTGTGCGCGCCGCTGCCGCTCCCGCCGTGCCGCTCCCCGGGAACAGCGCTGCCAACGCCGCCCGCCCGAGCCGCGCCATGCACGGCTCGCCCTGCTCGGACATGGGAGATGCGCCCGCGGTGAGCACCGGGCGCGCGGAGGGAGGGCGGGAAGAGGGGTGGTGGAGATGGCCAGCGCCAGTGCAGCCCGGGCACGTGCTCGGCGGCGGGCGGAGTGCGGGGACCGTCGCCGCCTCGGCAGGGACCGCTGCTCACCCGGCGGGGAGCGGCTTGGTCGGGCAGCGGGTCCTGGGCGGCTGTGCCAGGGCAGAGCCCTCAGAAGGGAGCGCTCACCTGCGGGGAAAGGGGGCGGCCCTCCTTCAGCGACCGTGCGGGGGCGGCGGCGGCGGCAGGGTGGGAGATGCCCCCCGCCCCTTCTCCTCCTTCCTTTCGCCCCCTCCTCCTTTCGGTGGCACCGCCCGGCCGCGGGGAGCGGGCGGGGGAGGCGCTGCCCCGCGGTGGGACCCGCGCTGCCCCCCGGCACTGCCCGCCCGCGCTGCCCGCTGCTCCTGCCCACCCGCCACGCTCCCTGCCCGTGCCCCGTCCTTCCCGCCAGGACCCGCCCTGCCCGGCCCTGCCCGTCCCCATCCTGCCGGCGGCCCGCACGTAGTTCCCGGCGGGGTGATGTGAGGACAGGCGCCCGGCGCGGTTGGCCATTTCCCTGGCAGCAGCCGGGGAGCCCGCGCTGCAGCGCTCGTCTGCAGAAAGTGCTTTTTCTGTCAGGGTGGTTTTTTTTTTTTTTTTTAATTTCGGAGTGTGTTTTGAGGAAGGGAGGCACATTTTTTTTTAAGGTTTCTTTAGGGAAAGCTGCTCGCCTGAAACGTGGGGTTGGAAAAAATAAACCTGTGTGCTCGGCTGGTTGCAGGCGCGCTTAGAGGAACACTGGCAGGCTGCTCAGTGCAGAGCCCCGCCTGGCCTGGCCCGGTGTGACAGGCGGGTGAGGTCCAGGCTTGCAGGCACGCATCGTGTTTTCCTCTCATTGTTTTTCAGTGGCAATTCTTAGAAGTCTCTCTCCAAGGTGTTAATCGCTTTTACCCCTTCCGGCCCCCGAATCATGACATCTCCGTGCCTGGTACCTCATGTTTTAGGTGAAGGTCCTTTGTGAGTGCAGTACTAATATTTTTGATCCATTATGTTTAGCATGTTTGCCTGCACATCCCTAGAGTGTAAATACAGCTTTATATCTTTGTGACACTGTTGAATAAGAATCATCCCACATTACTTAACTCAGTAACAAAACCCATTGACTTAGTGTACGGGCTGTCACTCAATGAGTACAATTCCTTCTAGGGCTTGAGGCCATGCTAATGGTGTGGTGTTGCCTTTAGAGTTAAAACCTTTTACCTGCAGTACATAAACATTCTGTGTAACAGCAATAGGCTCAAGAGGCTTGGTCCACACTTCTGAATCTCAGCCTTCAAGTTAGTTGGTGTGTCTAAAGACTGGAGGAGCCTGGATGCCTAGCTGAGACTGAGCTGGCATGTCAGTAATAACCCATTAACCTAGCATAGCTTTTGGAGTCACTGCCAAACACTGCGAGAGCTTTGTGAAGTTTAGATATGTGCACAGGAGTCAAGTGTTTTGCATGCGTACACATGCACTCACAGCTATTCTGTGATGCTTGTAACTGGAAACAAATCAGTATGATTACATTTGTCTTCCTTTTACTCTGAGTGTGTTTTAGATACCTAGCATCAGGCTAGGTTTAGATACCTATGTAGCATCAGGCCTTTCTGAAGTACAAGGCAAACAGTTCTCACTGCACTTTGAAGACCGTTTTCCTTCCATCTTTTCCCTGTCCTGGCTTCTCTATTAAAATACTTTGTGATGTGCAGTACTCCAAGTCAATGATCATACCTTAAAGCATCTTACCAGCAGCTGAAATTTATCTTCTAAATGTTTCCAGAATGAGATTAGTGCTGAATAGTCTTTTGGATTCAGGAAACCGCCTTGTCTAAACAAGGTTCAAAGTCAGGATTTTCCTCTTTTATGCTTGTATGCAAGCATACAAGGGGTGTGTTTGTTCAGAGCAGTGTCATCCAGGAAAGTAAGCTTGGAAATGCGAGCCATGCACATCTGTTATTTTCCTGGAAAATCACATGTCTTTTTTTTTTTTTTTTTTTAAGAGAAGGGAATGTGGAGACGAACTCAGGGGAGAGTGAGAGATGAGCCAGTTGGTAAAAGTCTTGCCACGGGTATGGGATCTGTTTCAGTTGACCTTCATTGTGAGCAGACAGTGTGTGGGTGGTGTCAGTTCTGTATTCTGACTTGTCCTAACAGCCTGTAATCTGATTACACGCAGGTTGACATTGTGGACATCTATGAGTCCATCCGTGAACGCCAGCGTCATGACAGTGAAAGGTCCACCTGCAGCACCTTGGAGCAGAATGACATTGAAGCTGTTGAAGCCCTTGTTTGTATGAGCTCCTGGGGTCAAAGATCACAGAAGGGTGACATATTAAAGATAAGGCCCCTCACGCCCTTCTCCGATTCTGGGGATTTCACAATGCATGCCGAGGCTACAGCTGAATTACCAAAGGACTATCTATCGACACTGGTAAGAAAAGCATGAGCACAAAATGAATATGCCCAATGCATGGATGTCGCATCCCTGCAGTGCTTTAACTTGGCTGGAAAAGACAGGCTTGCTCAGGTGTCCCTTTGTCATAGCCTGTGCTCTGTGTGTGCACAGAGTCAGGAGGTGGGCATGTTGAGTTTGTTTTTTTGCTGTCTCTGGTTTAGCAAATGTAGAGGCTTTTGTTAAATTTAGGTGTGAAAGCCCTTGCTGATAGGTTATTGGATTTGACAAGGATGTCAAGATGGCTATTGTAGGTTTCTTGGAGCACTTTGAGTAAGAATGGCAGAGTGAGCCTTGGTGATTTGGCATCAACATATCTGCAAGCACTGTATAAAAAAAGGCCCTTGATGATGTTATGCTTCGCTGGTCACTTTTAAGAGAAAGTACACGCTACCATTATGAAATAGGCAATTTAATTAGTTTCTGTACTATGTGTTTGTACATGTAGCCTGTTATTTCTCCAGACATTGGTCTACTCCAGCTGACTAATGTTGGTTGAATCCAAATATTTTTTCTTTTGTTTCAATTTATTTTGCAACAAAAGTAGGTATTAAAAAAGGGCTTGGTGCCATTAGGGTTTTAGATGGTTAAGGCCTATTTCAACCAGTAGGCTTCTAGCGTGCAGTTGCCAGGAAAAATGGGAATAATAGAGGAAAGAGGCTGAGATAAGATCAGCGTGACAAGCAGCTGCCATAATATCTCCTGCTGCTCAGTGCTGACACTGTCTCTTGAGCAGCACAGGAGATACCTTTCAGTGGGAAAGGAGGAAGAAGAGGTGATGCAGGAAGACAGCATAGAGAGAAATGGATGAATAAGAAAGGATAGAGCACTTTAATTTGTCTTTATCTAAAAGGTAGCCATGAAACAATGAGGTAATCATTGAGAAAAGATCTAGGGCTTGCTGGGAGCTTGAAATAGAAAAGTAGAGTATTGCTGTCTGTTGTTGGTCTGTTTATTCTGCTTATAGCCTCTTCTTACAGCTGTGCCCATTGCTGAGGAGAAAGGAATGAAAGACTGTTTTGTGGTGCAGTGAGTATACTTGCAGTGTTCTGTGCAGGTTTACAGCTGCCTCATTGCCTTCCTTTTATTAGTATGCTTTTAAGCATAATCAGAATGGTCATGAGATAAGGCAATGTGGTGTCCTGGTTTTGACTAGGATATTATTTTTTTCCTAGTTGCTGGCACAGTGCTGTGTTTATGATTTAGAATGAGAATAATGTTTGTAACATACTGATGTTCCAGTTGTTGCTGAGCAGTGCTTACCCCAGGTCAAGGACTTTTCGGTTTCCCATGCTCTGCCAGTGAGGAGGTGCACAGGAAGCTGGGAGTAGCGTGGCCAGGGCAGGTGATCTGAACTGGCCAGAGGGATATTCCATACACAGAGTGTCAGCCCAGCATAAAAACTGGGATGACCAGTGATGTTGGGAAGCACCTGGGTATTGGTCAGTGGGTGATGAGCAATTGTACTGTGCACCACTTGTTTTTCTTGGGTTTTATTGGTCTCTCTCTCTTTTTGGTATCTCCCTGTAATAATAATTACAATTGTTGTTATTATATTTTACTTTATTCCAATTATTAACTTGTTCTTGTGTCAACACATGAGTTTTATCTTTCTGATTCTCCTTCATGACAGATCTAACCAGACCATGTTGAAATAAATTTGTTATCAGGATTCATCTTATTAGTTTATTAGTTGTTGATCACAGTGTTGAATTATTTGCTATCAGAGATGTTGTGTTATGTAACAATTTGCTTCCTGTGTATGTTCCCCCTAGTGTTATGGTATTTTTGGGGGCTGGACTAAAGTTATCATTTTATTGTACTTAGTAACACTGGATTATGTGATAGCACAGAACTGCTGGCCTTGAAACTAATCTGGTTTCCATACTCTCAGCCCCTTGGTCATCACCTCAATACTTGGGGAACCATCTGTTAGAAACTGCTAATAGTGACACCATTTGCTTACACAGCCAACCTGTGTAGAAGACACACACAGTCTTCCCCTTCTTCCCCAGGCATGGGAATTTTGGAAATTTTGAATATCCTTGGGATGCTGAAACCATGGTCCATTAATGGACCATCAGGAACTGAGAATGTGGTTCAGGTCTTGTTTAGGGTTAAGCAACTGTTTGTGGCTGCTCAGACCCTGGCATCATGCAGTGTGACTACTCAGACCCCAACAAGGGATGATGCAGCTGAGCCAGAGGATGAGCTTGTGCCATTGTCAGTTGTGCTTGTAACAAGAAGAAATGAGCACAAAAGTCAGCTCATTTAGTGAAGGAGGATGAAGCAGGGCCATCACAAAAACTGGATGGAAGAAGAGACAGAACAAGAGGTAACCACTCAATCCCTGTCCCTGAGGGATCTGTGGGATATGTGAAGAAGCTTCAGCTGCTGTCCAGGTGTGCACATTGTCACCTGGCTGCTCCAGTGGGGCTAGTAGCCTAGAATTAGTAGATAGGGAGGCTAAGCAGTTGGGATAACCTTCTAGGGAAGAGAGCATTGACAAGGCGATTGAAAAAATGACACAAGTCTTCAGCCTGTAGAGGCAACTAGGTCAGGTGTGAAGGAAAGGTATCCTTCAGGAAAGATGTAATGTCACCCAGGCAGGTGGGCTACTCTGGGGAGACATGTCTGGTACCTGAGGGAATTAGTTGTACCAGAGGGGGTTTATTATGACATGAGCAGGGCACAGTCACCCACAGATCCAGATGAAGTCAGTGTGCCCAACCCACATGGCAGAAATTTGAACCATTTGCTGTGGACTTGCAATATATTGATAGTACTATTGTGGGCAATACAGCAGCAGAAGTTTTTGAGAAAGGGAAGAAAATAGTCCAAATCTCTCTGAAAGCTGCCATAAGACAAAGTAAGGTCCAGGAACCTCCACAAGAGATCCCTTTTTAAGAATAAAATAGCGAGGTGGATGTCATCAGATCCCAATGGATTTGGTTTGCAAAATAACAGATACATTTCTACCAACTAGTAAGAAAAGCACAAACTTTCTTAGGCATTGTGGGTTTTTGGAGAATGCACGTTCCAAATTACAGTCTGATTGTCAGCGTTCTCTGTCAAGTGACCCAGAAGAAGAATGATTTCAGATGGGGCCCTGAACAACAACAAGCCTTTGAACAAATAAAACAGGAGATAATTCATGCAGAAAATTAACTCTGCCCAGCCCTTGGGCCAGTCCAGGCAGGACAAGATACAAAAAATGACCTCTACACCACAGCCAAGGACGAGGGTCCTACCTGGAACCTGTGGTAGAATGCACAGTGAGAATTGAGTCAACCTCAAGGGTTTTGGATTCGGAGGTACAGAGGATCTGAAGCCCACTGTATTCCAACTGTAAAAGAGATACCGGCAGCTTACAAAGAGGTCCCAGCTGCTATGGAAGTGATTGGTGCTGAAGCACAATTCCCCTGGCATCCCAATTCCTGCTGCTGGGCTGGATGTGCAAAGGATGGGTCTCCTGCACACCACATAGCTGATGCTATGTGGAATAAGTGGGTCTTGTTGGTCACACTGGGTGCTCAAACAGGAAACGTCAGTCATCATACCTGCTTTCAAGACTCCTGGGATTGGTGAGAGGGCAGACTCTTGGATGCTGCCTGAGGAGATGACGTGCTGAAGAGACTCTTGTATAATAAGTTACCAAAAAATGAGAAATGTTTGATTCCTGCTGTATTGTAGGAAAGCATTGAGGTTGAAAAGTGGGTGTATGGCATATCCTACAAAAAATTAGAGAAGCTGCTGAAGGAGAAGGTGACTTGAATTACTTTGCAGAGGTGAACATTAGCTTTAGACACTGCTGAACAAGAAAAACAGCTGATGCTTTATCTCTGCTGATTCACGGGTGGTGGCAAATGCCATGTGGTGGTGGTTGCAGTGATGGAAGTAGAGCAGAGGTAAACCCATCTGGGCTGCTGCCTTGTGGCAAGATACTGCTGCCTGGGTGGAGACCCTGGTTGTGAAGGTATGTCACGTGGATGCTCATGTACCCAAGAGTTGGGCCACCAAGGAACATCAAAACAACCAAGAGGTGGATCAGACTTTTTAGATTGAAATGGATCTGGACTGGCAAGACTCACAAGAGTGAATTATTTATTGCTTGGTGACATCTGAGGTCATCAAGGAAAAAATGCAACATGTAAATGGGGTGATGATCAAGTGGTGGACTTGACCATGGGCACTCTTGTAGGGCTATCCATAGTTGTGAAACATACACTTCAGTTATTCAAGATGAGCTGTTAAAGCCTCTTTGGTGTGGAGGACAATGGCTGAAATGGAAATACGGGGACACCTGGCAGATGGACTCTTTATCAGACTCCCACACACCCACCAAGGCAAGCACCGTATGCTTATGATGGTGGAAGCAACCACTGGATAACTGGAAACCTATTTCATGCCCCATGCCACCTCCTGGAGCACTTTCCTGGGCCTTGGAAAGCAAGTCTTATGGCAGCATGGCATCCCAGAAAGAATTGAGCCAGACAAGAGGACTCGTTTCCAAAACAACCTCACAGACATCTGGGTTGAAGAGCATAGCATTTTGTGGGTTTATCACATGCACTACCATGTGCCAGTCTCCAGGAAAATTGAATGATGGAACAGACTGTTACTGAGAGCAGTGGGTGGTGGGAACTTCAAACAATGGGATACACATTTAGCGAAGGCCACCTGGACAGTCAGCACTAGAGATCTGCCAGCTGGGCCAGCTGTGCTCAAGGAAAACTTTTACACAGTGTAGAGGGGGATAAAGTCCCTGTAGTGCACACAAAAAAGCTTCTGGGGAAAACAATTGGAATTATTCCTTCATCAGGCAGTGGCAAGGGATTGCTTTTGCTTGAGGACCTTGGTGCACTTGGTGGGTACTGTGGGAGGATAGGGAAGTCCAAAGTTTTGTTCCAGGGGATCTGGTTCTGTGTGAGGACAGCCAGAAATTTGGATTGTATGATGTTAATTGCCATATAACACTCATGTCACCACTGCTGAGTGGGCTACATGCCACATCAAGGGTATTACAGTAGGAATCACCCAGATTAACAAAGAACAAACTTTGATGGAACTGGACAAACACAGCAGTGGTGGAATGAGAGCTAACTTCAATAGGCAGCAATCCAGCATGACACACCATCTTTCCTGCCCTGAAGACCTGCCATGAATTGGAGCCCAAAGGATGCATGAGTGAGCTCAACAGATGTTTTAGAGGGATGGCTTGTAGACTAAGGGAATCATACCTGTATCAAAAGACACGAAAAATAATGATGGTTAATTGGGATGTATTGAAAAGTGTGGGCATGATGTAAGTGGTATAGAATATGCGGTGGATATTGTCCTGTTATCAGCTGGGATAGAATTAATTTTCATCCTGGTGGCTGGCACAGTACTGTGTTTGGGATTTAAGATGAGAATAATATTGATAACACACTGATGTTTTGGAGTAAGCACTGCTCAGCAACAATTAAGCCAAGGCCTTCTCGGTGTCTCCTGCTCTGCCAATGAGGAGGAGAAGCCTTGTGAGAGAGCATGGCTCGGACACTACTGACCAAACTGGCCAAAGGGATATTCCATACCATGGAGCATCGTGTTCAGTGTATAAAGTGGGGGGAGTTGGCCAGAGGGGCCAGTCACTGCTTGGGATCAGGCCAGGTGGGTGGTGAGCAGTTGTACTGTGCATCGTTGGTTTCTCTTGAGCTTTATTTTTCTCTCTCTTTTTATCTGCCTTTTTATTACAATTAATATTTTTATTATTGTATTTTCCTGTATTTGAATTATTAATTTGTTCTCATCTCAACCCATAGATTTTACCTTTTTCTGATTCTCCTTCCCATCCATATGGGGTGGAGGATGAGTGAGCTTCATGGGACTTTGTGGCCATCTGAGATTAAACCACAGCAGTATAGTTTATTCAGTTTGTCCTAAGAGGCACTTTCTGAGATGCTGGGAGAGGGTGTGTAATTTTATTTTTCAGAGTAAAAATAGGGAAAAACTGTGCTATGGAATTACACTGATCCCCAGTGGTGTGGGTTTTTTTTGCAGTGCATGACCCCTCCGCACAGCCCTGACTTCGTTGAGATGTCGGCAGCTACGCTCCTGTCCTCACAAGTGACTTACTCCAAACCAAGGACTGTCATGGCAAACACAGCTGCCTGCTCAGTCACATCAGCAACCAGTGCCTCTCCCATAGCCAAGCCATCTGTTCCCAGCGCGGGGCGACAGTGCAGTCAGAAGCCAGTGATCTCTGAATTCTCCGCACCTCAGCCTTGCCGGGCTATGGCAACAAGTGTCATACGTCACACAGGTGATAGTTCTGCTTACCATCACATTCCTGCTGTGCAAGAGAAAACAAAGGTAACTTCAGGCTACAGCACTTCCAGAGACTGGTGTGGAGCGGATGACCGAAAACATTCCAGACTGCCACAGGACACGTGGGCTGCGGATGATTTAATCAAAAAAACCTCTCCAGTACATCAGCCTTATGCACGTGACTCCAGTGATATTGTGACCAATAAAGGGCAACCACCAGTCCGGCCTGTTTCGCCACAAACCCACTTACCAAAGAATTGTGAGAGTGACTTGCAAAAAAGAGCTACCCCAGTGGCACCTGCCCCTGTCTCAAGCCCCCAGGTTCTCTGTCAAATGATCCCTGTAAATGGACAAAGCAGCATGATCAATGCCTATGTCAAGCCTTCAGCTCCCATGAAGCCTATTCTGCCGCAGACAGCCCCGCTCTCCCAGCCTGTGCTCATGGGCCCGTCTGTGCCTCAGGGGACTGTCATGCTGGTGCTCCCGCCGCCCGCTGTCACGCAGACGCCGCAGGGCCCGCCGGCCGTGGTGGCTGTGGGCAGCACCAAGCTGCTGCCCCTCGCCCCTGCTCCTGTGTTCATCGCTTCTGGTCAGACCTGTGCCCCCCAGATGGACTTCTCCAGGCGGAGGAATTACGTTTGTGACTTCCCTGGGTGCAAGAAAACCTATTTCAAAAGTTCCCACCTCAAAGCCCACCTTCGCACCCACACTGGTGTGTACCAGAGGGCTCTGGCTTGCGTTGGGGCACTGAAATGCACGTTTTTGCATGGAGGGGGGTGAGAAAGGGAAGGAGCAGGTAATGGGGAAGCTTTTGCTCATCTTGGGGATGGAAGGAATGTTCATTCTCCATGGACAAGCAAAACAAGACGTACTTTGTTCCGAGACCTCAGCTGACCCTGTAGTGTTAGTTGAGTTTCACAGGCTTTAGTTGGAGTGAAGCTTTGCCATCTGTGTGCATTTGTTTAGATCTAAGTGGACTCCTGCCATCTGGACTAGATTGAAATGAATTGTGCAAGTCCCTTGTTTTGGAGCATGGGGAGGTCTGGTGTGAGCGAAACACAGTACAGGTAGTTGTTCTTAATTGTTCGTGAGTAAAAGAAGAGAGAAGCTCAGAAACTGCTTTTTATATTTGTTTGGGGTTTTTTTGTTCCTCGTAGAGTTTTGTGTAGGCTAAATGGGAATGCATTGAGATTTTGGGTTGCTGTGTTAGGAAGTAGAGTTCCTACAGGAATGTAACAGTTTATTCAGTTGCAGAAGGGGAATTTTAGAGGTAAATGAAAATGAATTGTAATTAATATGAAGTGATTTGCTCCATAAATTTGGTCAGTGGTCAGTCTATATGTGTTTTACTTATCCTTTTTCTGCTTCCAGCATCTTGTTAAATTAAAACTAACTTTGAGTTCTCAGGGATTATTTTTGATGTTGAAGGGAAGGCATAGTGGGAGATTGGTATAGAATAGTTCTATTTTTGGTTTTCCTTAACTTTTTTCCCCTACCTGCTGTTACCCCACAGTCACTGGGCTTATTGTATGTCAGCTTGCGTGACAGGATTTGCATTAGTTTGGCAGTTTGTCTTTACTGTTCCTTTGGGGAAAGAGCTTAACCTCTACATGAAGCTGGTAATTCTTGTAAACCATCATTCAGAGGTAGAATGATGCTTCTGCTTCTGGCTTGAGAGGCTGCTGAGTTAAACCTGGTGCTCCAGGATAAACAGACTATCAGCAAGTGCCTTGCCTTGTGCACATGGGAGCCTGTGTGTGTCCCTGTATCATGATTAAAACATCAATGCCAGGTGAAACATGCTGACCCCTCACTAACGAATTCCCATTACAGGATCAGGAGGAAGAGTAGTTCAGCTTTCTTTTTCTGCCTTTTCTCTGCATGCTGACTAGCTAGATCCTAGAACATCCAGAAGACACAGACTTTACTCTCAATGCCTGAAGTGAGAACACTCCTGTTGGGCTTCCTTTCTGTGGGCCCCTTCTTTTCTGCTCTGAAGTGTCCCCATAATTTTGGGCCACGTGGTAGATGTTTGTCTGGAGCCCTGTGGGAGTTGCAGGCAGCAGTGGCAGTTGTGGTTGTTCAGGACAGGTGGATTGTTCAGCAGTGGCCCAGGATGAGCAGCAGCTGATGTGGGCAGCTGTGCTGACTGCTGCCATTCCTGGTCTGGGGGGCTGGCAGGACAGGCTTTGCCTCAGGAGTGCTCGCTGGCGTGTGTTTGTGTGTGGAACTGGACCACGGAGCAGGACCCAGAGGCTCCATTCCAGGCTTCCTGTTTGCCCACAGTATTTGTGGGTGACATGCTGCAGCCAGAGAGATATGGATACATGGGGATGGGGCTTGCTTCTCAGTCGGCAGATAAGGCAGCTTTATGAAGGCTCTATTTCTTTAAACTGGGATTTTGGACAACTGAAAAACCAGACTTGATTAAAGAACACTTAAAGAGAGATAAGGAAATAAGTAGAAACGATAGCTATTATTTTTCTCCAAAGCTTAATCTTACATTGACTGCACAGATGAGCAGTTCTGTGGAACTCCCTGGTTTTTGCGAAGCAGGTTTTAAGTTAGTCCTTTGATAAGACAGCAACACAGCTTCTCAAAAGTAACAAATGTTCCTTTATGTCCTGCAGGTGAAAAACCTTTCAGCTGCAACTGGGACGGCTGTGACAAGAAGTTTGCCCGCTCGGATGAGCTGTCGCGGCACCGCAGGACGCACACGGGCGAGAAGAAGTTCTCGTGTCCGGTGTGCGAGCGCCGCTTCATGCGCAGCGACCACCTGACGAAGCACACCCGCCGCCACATGGCCACCAAGAAGGCCCCCAGCTGGCAGACAGAGGTTGGCAAACTCAGCAGAATTGCCACAGCAGAGAAACCCAGGGGCAGCAGCGCTCTGAGCATGCTCATCCCCGTGCCATCACCTGTCTGCCAGGGCTAGAGTGAAGAAGCACCTTCTGCAAACTTCTGCGAAAGATCAGAAAGAGCTCCGATGGCAATGGCTTTTGTTTTCCCCGTGTTTGTGTGTACTTTAGTTTCCTGCAGTTTAGGTCCTCTGTTGATAGTGCTATGTGAGGAATCGATCATATTTCCTCGTCCCTTCCCTGTTGGTTTTTTTCAGTACTTGGGCAATTGCAATCACCAGCACTTCAGGAAAGTAGAACTCCTTGGAAATTATTTTGGCAATAGGTTAAAAGTAATGCTTGCTGTTAATATTTTGATGGACAGTGAAACAGGGTGGTTTTTAATTTTTATAGTACTATTTTCTATACCAAATATATTTTGTATTTGTTCATTTTGGTCTTGTTATGCAGGCAAATTACTTGCATTAGTAGGGCTGTGCTGGATGAGACCCAGAGTTTTGGAAACTCCTTTTCAGTGAACCTAAACTATTGTATTCAGAGTGTTTTATAAACACTTACCATTTGATAACTCATATTGGTTGGTGTTTTCACACTTGCAGATCCTGATCCTGCAGTGGGCTAGTGCTCTTATGCTCTCCTTATGCAGGTACATTGGAGATCAAAGTGAGTCAGTAATTTTTAAAACAACCCTAAGCAGAATGACCGTATTTGAGAATACAAGTGCTGAGATCCTCAACATTTTATGAGTTCATACCCTTTGAAAGTAGAAGCTGATGTGGCTGTTGGTAGAACCATTCTTGAGTCCACATTCCATTGGAGCAAAGTTTGGAGGAGCCAGACTGCTCTGATGGAGATAGAAGCACAAACACTGTTTAGAAATTTTGACACTAAAAATTATGCTTTATTTTTGGTCCTACTAAACCAACATATCAAAATAAACTGAAAAATGTGAAAATGGCAAGATAGCCCATTAAAAATTAGTGGCTCTCTATATATTTTTTTGAGTAGAGGAGAAATAAAAAATTAAAGGTTTTTTTTGTATTGTGGATACTTGCGCACCTTATAGGAAATTGTTCAAGGCTTTCTTTTACCTGTATCAGTGCACCAGAGGAAGTACTAATTGTGTCTTGAGTTAAGAAATAGCCACCTTGTCAATTTGATGATGCTCTTCATGTGGCCTTATACTTCTCCACAGTACTTTGTATAAAATCACCCTTTTCTATTAAACAATACACTCTCCCTGTTGAATGGATTTTCTTTTACACAAAGTGTAATGATAGTTAAGAAATGGAACCAATGGCTGCAGGAGTGCTGTGTTGTAATAGCATGGTGTGAGTAACAAAATGCCCGTAGCACAATCGGAGTGCTCCATTCCCAAGGTGCAGAAGGTGTGTATGTACTGTAGCAGAGCTGACAGGACAGCAAAGCACCAGGTGTTTTGCTGGGAGACAGCTCCCCCCTGAATGAAATATTTCTGGAGTGCTTATTCCTTCTGGACTCTTCTCCCTTCAGCCACTCTGCACTGAAGCTTAGTTGAGCGCTGAGGAGGATTATTCTTCCTATATGCATCAGCTCTGGATAACTTGGAATGCACTCTCTCTTTACTGCTTTGTTCTTAAATTCTGGTCTTGTGGGTAAAGCACAGATCTCATCTATGGAAGTGCTGACTTGCCAACCTCAGCTGACACTCCTCTGAAATTGGCAGAGACCTGTTTCAGTTAAAGCAGATTATGTAATTATTTTTTACACTAAAGTCTATAATTAACAGTAGTAAGTTTTCAAGCTGCACTAAATCGGAGTATTGTGCTAGGTGTACTGAAGTTTTTGTGCCTGACCTTGTAAAGGCCCACACCCTGTGCACTGACACGTGCTGTAATCCCACTGACCCCGGTGTACGTGCCAGTGAGGTGTGTGTGGGCCTTGCTTTGGACTCTCCAAAGGGCTCAGTTGGAACCTCTTTGCCTGGTGAAGTGGATCCTTGTGGTGTTGCTGTTCTCTGTTGCTACCTAGTTTTCCAAGTTTCTGTGGTGAACAAAGAGATGCTGCTCTTACTTTTTTCTCCTCAGAAATCCCTTAGAACAAGAAGTCTGACTTTTGGATGCTGTTTTTGCATGCTTTTAACCAGGAGAAGCATGTCCCGTCTCGGTTTAGTAGCCAGTTTCGCACTTCATTTTTTTACAGACTAACTATTTATGGTGCTCACCTGAGAAAACAATTTGGAAACTTGTCATAATTATATAAATTGTCATGGTTTTTGCATTGTGGGGGGAAGAAAACAGTGGACTTGGAGAATAGACTTTTTAAAAGTATGTCATGTATGTGTGTCACGATGTGGAAAAGCAACTGCTCCCTCCTTGTTTGGGTGTAGCTGGCCTGCAATTCCTGCAGCCCGTTCTGGGATGTGTGGATCGTTCTCTTGTGGACGTGCGTGAATAGCTGTGCTGCAGTGTGGCTGTGTCTGCTCTGTCTGTTCCTTCCTGCTGTGTAAGGGTTATTTATGGATTAAGCATGACTGGCGTAGCTGCTGTCCTTGCACTTTACTGCCTGAACTCTACTGTTCAGTCTTTTTATTTTGAGCCTATATTTTACAGAAATGGAACTGCATTTTTGTACGTGTTTTTAACTTTTATTAAATAAAATGTATGTAATGTGACTGGTTTTAAGTCATAAAAAAAATCATGGGTTTTCAGGTTTCACAGGTGTCCATTCCAGAGCTATGTAAATCCTTCAGAATTAGGTTGTGTGTCTAGGCCAGTGGAAGACTTGGGGCTTGCTAATTCACTTACCTGTAAATGCAGGATTTTTTGAATCCTGTTGTAAATTGACTAGTGCTCGGTCGTTTATGATTTTACACCGCTCATCTCATGTTTTTGGTAGGAGGTGCACACCCCCACCAGGCCTTGAGGCTTCTCTCTGCTCTCTGGGAACAAGAGTTCCCAGCTCCACAGCACTTCCAGCCCAGCCTCCAGCAGCTGTCAGCAGAAGGGATGTGCTGGGTGCTGCTCCATTAGTGTCACAAGCTGTGCTTGGAGTGAATGCTGGAAATAAGGCAGAGATGAGAATTTAACTCTAAAGGTGGCTGTGCTATCCCCAGTTCTTCTGCTCAGGTGGGCACGTGCCTCTGGCAGGCTGGGTATGACCTCCCAGTCTCAGGAGGTGTCCAGTGGTGGTGACAGCAGCAGCAACTACCTACATTTTTATGCTGTTTCCATCTGACCAGTTCCTGAACTGCAGAAATGTTTATTTCCAGCAGAAAGGGAGAAGGTGTAATGATTGCAGCTTTTTGTCAGCCTTTCACTGCAAGGTGGCTCAGTCAGTACAGGCAGAGCCCTTAGGGAGTGACCTGGGAGTGGTGACTCAAGGCTTTGTCCACGGAAGAGCACATTGTTCTTGCAAGTGTGAGGAAGGTGAAAGGAGATCTCATGGATGGTTCTGCTTCCCCCTCAACAGAACAACTGGAAAGGAAAGCTTAGGTACAGGTTTAATGCTCTGGCAGGACAGCACAAACTTCAGCCCCTGGGCTCTGCAGTTTGCCACAATGCTCTTGTCTCCCAGGGGAAGATGTCTTACCTCTCTCTACTATTTTTCAAGGAAGATTTTTCTGAGCATCCAGTTGCATCTCTAAGAATACTTGTTTTGGTGGGTTTTTTTGCTGATTTTTATTTTGTTTTCCTGGCTTTGTTTATGTGAAACATGACAATGGATTTCAGTCTGTGCATACCTTTCTGCTTTTCTTTAGACCCAAGATATGGTCTGAGCTGTTCCATGCAGCCAGGAGGTGCACTCAGTCCACATCCTCATGGGGATGGAGTCTGGAACAGCTTCATCTAGTGCGAGAAAACAGCCTGCATACAAGGAAGCCTTCCCAACTACCCCTTTGCTGACACAAGCATTGTTGAGGGCAAGTCTTTCTGTCTTAAAGCCATTCTAAATCCATGAAAAGGAATCATTTTCTGCAGGACAATGGATTTGTGCTCAAACATGTCTATTGGCTTAATGCTTCATCTTGCAGTCCAAGTGGGATTGCTTGTTAGACACACCATCCTGTGTGGTTGTACAGCCAAACCCTGGGCTGAGCAGCAGCTTGAGCTGTCTTGCAAACCAGTGAGCACTGATCCTCTTACAGTCTGGGCACTGGAAGAGTGAATCCATTCTGATGCTGCAGAGGTGGCAGAGGTGGCCCGTGCTGCGGGCTGGTTGCACGCTTGGTGTGCTCCTCCAGCTGAGGCCACAGCTCTGGCTCATTTTCCCTTTGCAGCTGTGAAAGCTGTACTGAACATCCTTCATCTTTCATCTCGACCTGAGTCCTGCCCCAGAGCTGCCTCTGGATTGAGATCATCGGCAAGGATAAATCTTCTGACTGGTTTTGAAGTTTAACCTGTGAGCCCATCTGCCTGTTTACCTTCCATTCACGTCTGGCAAGGCAGCTTGAGGCAGGCAGGCTCTGGCTGTGAGAAGGCAAATTGCTTCCATGTCTGCAGCAAGAGTAAATCATGACTCAAAACCCAGCAACCTCCAGGCTGAAGAAATGGTGAGACAGTCCAGGAGGAAGCTGCAAAGCCTCAGCCACATCTCACAGTCCAATCTGTCCTGGGATCCTCTGTCAAAGGCTGTCAAATGCAGCCTTCCTCCTTTTCTGCTTCAGTCCTCAGGTGTAGAAGGAAATTGATGACTTTATATGCTGATGTGTGCAGAAAGCAATGGGCATATCTTAAAACATGCAGAAAACTTGAGGAAGCTGGAGCATACCCTTTGCTGGGAGAGTTTGTGCCAGATGGGAAGAATACCTTAGGTTTAATTTGTTCTCTTATGGCATCTCTTGAGTTCAGAGTGACTTCTCTTCTGTTGGTTATTACTGCCCAGATAATCCACTTCACCCTGTGCAAATAATTGCCATGTCCTGTGTCCAGAGATGAGGGGGAAGCCTGCTGTGGGTATGGTCTGTGCCAGGCAGTTGGTAAATGTGGTGGGCAGCTCCGTGAGGTTCCTGTGGCACAGCTCCAGGCCTGTGGGCCCCTGTGCCCCCCTTGCTGGGGCAGAGGCTCTGTTTCAGCAAGGCTCTCTTGCTCCTTTTAGACTAGTGCAAAATGCAGCATGTAGCATTTGTCTTTGTTAGATGAATAATGTAGTGATTTGGTTAAAAATAATAGCCTTTTGGTGGTTTATTAGTGGAGATTAATAGTGTCAGCTCAAAAGCCATTGTCAGCTATCCTGTCTTATGCTGCGGGTATTGAGCAGGGGGGTAGTTTCCAAAATGATGAATAAAAGACTCTCCAGAACCTTGCTTAATTCCAGCAAACTGTTTTAGGGGCAGGAAGTCAAATATTTTTTTAGGGGCAAGCTGAATATTTTTCTGTCCTTCAAGCAGTTGTGATTTGATGGTGGTTATAGAGAAATACCATGAAAAGAAAATTAACTTCCCAATAATTCAGCTGTTTGGATATCAGCATTCACTCCCTGAGATGTGGCAAAGTGATCTCTATAGTGCAATTGTCCTTAAAAAAAAAAAAAAAACAAAAAAAACCCACAAAACCATTAATTCAATAAGTTTCTCTTGAAATCTGTCATGGGCACAGCTACTCCTTTCATACTATTACTTACTTACAAATGATCTAGTGTCCTGTTTTCTGTGAGCAAAAGATGGACCAAAAGCAGAGTTACACTGACACCAGGTAATTAAACTGTAGTTGTGGCTTCCTAGGCACCAGCCCCACTGCCCCTGTCCCTTTTTGGTGTGGAGCTGGGTGCAGGTTTGACACGGAGGGAGGAGCACAGTCCCCATCAATTCTTGGGCAGACTGGGAACCTGGTTGGGTACCACCATCCTGTTCTGCATGATTTGAGAATGAGACAGATGGCTGTGAGCTGTCAGTGCTGGCTGCCTCTGTGGTCTGAGCTCCGTGCTGAGCACACATCATTTTATGGCACAGAGAAAGCCTGCAACAAGACCATACCACAGTATGAGGTCCCTCCTTGCATCCCCAAACTTCTTTCTTGCGCCTTTTCCCTGGTGCAGTGATGTCCCAGCTGCATCACTCCTTTCTGCACCTTCCTGTGTTTCTGCAGCTCCTCATTTTCTGTTGGTGATGCTGCAAAGGATTATCTTATCTGGAAAGGAAACGCAGTGCACCTTTGTTCCAGGTACAGAAATGTGCTTGTCTCTTGGTTATTTTAGAAGCTCATTTTATAAAACAGCTCAGTGCTTTGCTGTGTTCAGTAGAGGGATATTTTTTGGAGCCTAACAGTATATTCTGCTTAGGTGTTCTTTTTAATTAGTCAATTTCTGTAATTTTGAATACTCAGGCTTTCCTTCAGGAGAGTTTGAAATGGGTTGTAGAGCTGTTACTGTGCCAGCCACCATATGCAGCCTGAGAGAGAGCAGCTCTGTAAGGACAGGCAGGGCACATGCAGGGTGACCTGGGGGAGGCAGAGCCCTGGTCCCTGCCTGCTCCTGTCACTGCGTGGTCTGACAGCAGTGTGGCTTTCCTGCTTGCTGTGTCACTGGAGGCCATCCAAAAAGGCAGCAATCCACTGGCCCTGTGCTCACAGAGGGGGAGCTGTCACTGAGCTCAGTGAAATATCTCCCCACATGTGCCAGAGACTCTGGGGACCTTGACAGAAGGAAGGTCTTAGTTGAAATAATGAAATCCAAGTTCAAAGAAAATCTAAACCACTATAGTGATTACAAAAGAATATAGAGTACTGTGGTCCCCTGTGGTGCTAGGGTCACTGTTTTTTCTGCTCTCCTCTGCTCCTCCCAGTAGGTCTTTGAGAGTTGCTGAATACTAACACAAGCTCTGGGAGATCTGGTGAGTGGGCTCTTGATAAACTGCAGAGAAACTGTATTCCTGCCACAGGTCAGTGACATTAATAGGTCTAAAAATGACTGTTCCTGTGAAAGAAGTGCTATTGTTCAAAATAGGATTTTCCCAGGAGCATTAGAGACCCATTCCTCCAGAGAGCCCACCCAATTTCTCCAACACTGCAGGGACACCCGCTCTCTACTCCAGCTATTTCTGGGCCACCAAGGTATCACAGAATCAGAACAACCTGGGTTGGAAGGGTCCTTAAAGATCATCTAGTCCCATCCCCCTGCCATGGGCAGGGACACCTTCCACTAGACCAGGCTGCTCTGAGCACCATCCACCATCCTGGCTGTGAACACTTCCACGAATGGGGCACTCATAATCTATTCCAGTGCCTCAACACCCCCACAGGGAACAATTTCTTCCTTACATTCAACCCAAATTTAGCCTCTTCCAATTTAAAACCATTATCCCTGGTCCTATCAGCATGTCCCAGCTGGTGTGCTGGGAGCTCCTGCCTCCAAGCATGAGGGAGGTTGGCTTTGATGGGGGTTGGCTCCCTTCCCACTGCCTACCCCGGGCTGCCTGGGGGCTCCCCAGCTCCCAGGCAGAGCACAGTGTCCAGCCTTGCTGAAGGCTGCTGCAGGGAAGACAACTGGGGTGTGAGTCTGTGTGCCAGGGATGATCTAGTGCCCCCCTCAAGGCATCCCTCCTGCCATCCTCCAGGGATGCATCCTGCAGAATCCCACCTGCCATCCTCCAGGGATGCATCCTCCTTAGTCTCTGCAGGTACCAGTGCATGATTTTTCATGTAAGCCAGAGAACCTTTTTCAGAATATTTGATGCCTTCACTGAGGGCTTCAGAGTATAGATGCATTTATTTCTGTTTCACAGGTCCCAGGAATCATAAAGTACTTAAAATACAGCATCTTAAGAGGTGTCCTGCAATTTTTTCTTGCATTTACATGTAGTGAAAATTTCATCCGATGCCTTTTATGCTTCAGCTGAAGGTGAAGCATAAAGTACTTTTCTACTTCTGAATAAGCAAATACTCATAATATGTTAACATGCAGATATAATAAAAGCAGAAACCCAAAATACCAGGTTTCCCTGTCTGGGAGCACTGAAAATACTATTTCCTTAGGGGACAGAACTTTCTGGTTACTTTGCAGTCAGCTAATGGTAAAATGCAGTGATTTTTCTTGTAAGACAAGAAATATTTGGGAAAGACCAGGAGTAGCAATTACGAAAACTGATCCCAAACAGCTGCTCTACAAGAGCATGCAAATACCTCTTGAGGAGGATGACTGAAATGGGGATGTGCCTCCTGTTTTCACTCCAATCACTGGGATGGATCCACACCCAGGAGCCCCAGGTAGGAGACCTAGGCTGGGACCCTATCCCAAAGGGATCGTACAAATCCTGTGTTCTCTGATGGCTCCCAGGAACCTAATCTGGCGGCAGGATGGCGGGATTTGAACTCTGGGATTACACTGCCTATGCACTAGATGGTGGGCTCAATCCCCTTTTCCTCCTACCTCCCATACTGGGGACCAGATTGAAAGAGACAATGCCAAATTCAGACCTGGACCTGAGACTTGCACAAGCACAGTTCGGCACATTTTAAGTGGCAGAATGGTGAATTTCATGCAACATCCCCTTAAATTCTGGATCAGATTATATTGCTGCATTTTTTTTTTACTAAATTCAAAGCAAGATCTTCCTTGAAAGTGCCACATTTCAACACCTCTAGTATGGCACTTAATTCTACTACATGTTCATTTAAAAATCGCATTTAGAAATGAGCTTCTAAATATTGATTCTTAAGATGAATTTGTCCCTCTTCCAAGTGGTACCAATCAGAAATCAGCAGCTGGTGAGGATCTTCCTGCTCTCACTGGGAGCTGACCAGGTGAACTTTCTCCTCTGTGCTTCCCAAGCAGCCACGCTGCCCCTCCTGCTCCAGTCCCCTCCACCAGCCACCTCTGCCGTGCAGTCTCACACAGCGGGACGTTGTGGTGGCAGCAGCAGTTCTGCTCAGCTGGGCTTCCAGGATCCAGCAGTTCTGCTCAGCTGGGCTTCCAGGATCCAGCAGTTCTGCTCAGCTGGGCTTCCAGCATCGTGCCTGCCGTTCTCGTGGTGGGGACCTGGACTCAGCGGCAGTACTCCCGCTCGATGCTGGCCATGAGCTCCTCCTCTGAGTAATCATACAATATTGTGGACTGCCCCAATGACTTCTTGTTGCTTTCTGGGCACCTATCATGGAAGGGAATGAATTATTGGAATTATTGGTGTTATGAGAGAGAATCAGGCTCTGAAGATACAAGAAGATCCTTGCCTTTTTTTTTTTTTTTTTTTTTTTTTTTTTGAATGGAAAGATTGAGCTGCATGTGGCTTGTTGAGACACAGACACTCTGTCATGTCTAGTTCTCATACCCCACTGGAACATTGCCTGCTGACATTTGCTATCACTTGGCACCAACTTAGTCTGTGAGTTCACCACAGTGCAACCCTTACAGTACTCCAGGATCAAGCTCCCAGAACCTTTCGAGTTAGGCTCCAGGCCCAGCTAATGGACAGTGTAATCTTTATGCTACTTTTAAGATTTTAGGGTAAAAGATATTATTTTGTTCATATTTGTAAGGAATCTGAGTTTCAACCAAAATATGAATACAGCTCCCTGAAACTGCTCTTACAGCCTTTGTTTTCACATCAGCACAGCCCTCCCATGAGTGGGAACTGATGTATGACTCAAGGGGAACTGGTTTATTGGTGTTATCAGAGGTGGTTTATGTTGGGTTCAAGAGAAATCTGTCCCTACCTGCATAAGGGAGAACAGTGACAAGTCTTCTGCAGGCTTTGGCCACTGTACCTCATGCTACCGATAAAGCCTACTTGATCTTACCCTTCAGGACTCAAGAGAGGAGCCAGCAGCTGACAAGTGCCTCCTTGGCCTTGTAGAGATCTGGGAGGTGAGCAAGCTGGGCTGTCAGGCTTGGAACACATGGCTCCTTGGAATGGAGGTCATGGTGAGGTGCAGAGCTAAGTGGAGAATTGAGCTGGTAAATCCAAAGTGCTCTGCCATGCCATGTTAACCAAGACTCTCAAATCAAAGTGCTCTGCCATGCCATGTTAACCAAGACTTTGAGACCATCCACTAGTGAAGAACAAGTAAGCAAAAAATAAATGCTTTGGTTTTGTGTGTCAGTTAGTTCGTTGCCAAAGAGGAGAGATTTTCAAGAGTTCATTGCCAAAGAGGTGATATCCACTAGCATGGCTCCAGATCTGTCCCAGACTCATTATCTATTGAATTCCTCCAAGGATGAGGTCTATCCCAACCATTGCTCTTGCAGCTGGGATGAATAAAATTAATCCATTAGCATCCTTTAATAAAAAAAAACTGAGGACCTGTTTACTAGACAAAATCACAGAAACTGCCCCAAAGCAGGTATGTAAATGTAGAATCAGAACTGAAGAAAACAACCCTGAAATGCTTTTCTAAGGACACTTTGTCCTACAGGGGAGTTGCTTTCACACTGCTCTCCTTGGGCCAGGCAGCATCCTCAGGCTCCTGCCCAGCCCAGGTGCTCTGACTAAGCTGTGTTTGCCGTACCCATGTGTGTCAGAAATAGCCTGGTGTTTTTCCTGGAGTCACCTGATGGCCAGCTGATGACACTGGCTAGTGTAGGTATTCTACAGTTACTTACACTGCACTTTGCCCTTGATGGCAAGTTCTACTAGCAGCAAGCAGGATTTAGCAACCAGACTCTTCTGCTTATTCCTTTTATTCATTTTCCTGCTGAGGGCTGCAAGGTATCTGATTTCCACTGCACTAGGTGAGACCTGAGAAGAAAGCTACAGGTCCAAGAGATCAAATCATACAGCAGCATTTACAAAGCAATAATGGGAAAAGGAAGTGCAGAAATCTTAGTTAAAATACACAATTTACTGATTTAAAATCTACACTGTGACAATCCTTTAACTAATTTTATGTTACGTGATGAATAAGAGGCAGAGCTCCTGGCAGCTTGCTTGCAGGCCCACAGAAGAGCCATTGTTTCTCTTAGCAGTTACATAATTTCCCACTGTTAATTATTCTCAATTCTTTGGTTTGCATGGAGAAAATCTGCAGGTAAAACTCGTTGAGACACAGATGTGCTCTGGAAAAAACAAAAGCAGACTCCACTTCCTATGCACACCCCAGAAATGAGAGGAAAAGAGAGGGTTGCATTTCTTTAAAGAGCAAAGGAATAGCAAGTTGCAGTTCATTCTATTTCTATATTTGTGGCAAAATTCTGTATCATTTAATACAGGAAAACTGAAATAAAATAAAAAATTAGAGCTTTAATCTGGATAAAAGGAGAAACTTCTGCACTCTGAGCACAGCAAGCAGAGGAACAGGCTGTGTGGTGGCACAGGCTCTATCCTTGGAGGCTTTTAACACCTGATGGGCCAAAGCCTGGAGCGTTCTGGTCTGACTTCACAGCTGATCCAGCTTGGAGCTAGAACTAGGAGATTGGACTAGAGACCTCCTGAGGCCATCCCAACCTAAACCTCCATCTCAAAGGCACGTTGTGGCAGCTATTTCTGCCGATCCTAGAATTCAGTAAACAGCTGTGGCAGGGAAATCCCAAGCTCAGGATGTGCATAGGACAACAGCTGGTGGACCACAGGCCTCTCCTGTGCTCCTCCAGCTTCTCCAGCAGCAGAGGAGGCACCTTGCTCCACCTGTCACTAAGTGCCAGGGCCGCAGAGCCTGGCTGCAAACACACTGAGTCCACCTGAGGGCTGTTAGACCTTCCAGCCAGCAAAATAACAGGTCAGTACCTTGAGTGGAAAGATTTTCAAACCCCAGATGTTCTGGGGAAGGAGACAAACATGTCAAGGTGCAAAGCTGAGAGAGAGAGTTAGCTGAAAAACATATAAAAGGGGAATTTCCTGTGTGATAGGACAGCAAGGAAAAAGAAGGCTAGTGCAGCTTTATCAGGATTACTGGGCAGGCTTCTGGGTGCCTCACTGCTAAAATGTTCTTAACAGCTTGGAGGGAGTTTAGAAAGCAGCAATAAAAGTGATTTAAGAGGCTGGAGCAAAGCAATTTAGGAAACAGGAAAGCAAGAAATGTGTTCTATTTCAACTACAGGCTTCTTGATGTTCCCTTCTTAAGGGAAGCAGGAATCATGGGTGGGTTTTTTTGTGAAGACAATGAACTATGCAAAATGGAGAAGGAAATGCAAAGGACAAAATCAGACCAACAGTGAGCAAAACCACCTATGAGCAAGATCCCAGCCATGGGGATGGCTGTCAGTGCCATATCCCTGGTGTCAGGCAGGTGCCTGGTGTGGGGGAGAGCTGCCTGCAGGCTCCCATGACAATGGCCCTGATGGGTGACCAGGGTGACAAGGTCCCAGGCAGAAACCTGAGTTAAAACTGGCTGAAAACTCGGTTGGGGTGAATCTAGGCCAGTGTTTTTTATCATTTTGCTGAGGATGGGCAAGTCCAGGGTTAATTATTAAAATGCCTTCTGCAAGACCTAGCAGCTGAAAAATGGGTCAGAACAACGCCCTGGTAACTCTGCCAGTGACACCAGCCTTGGCAGCAATTATAAATCATTACTGTGTGCCTGGGCTGTGTCATCCACCCATGAACTACCAGATGCTGGAGAGCAGTTCCCAAAAGATTTTGGGGAGGGAGGATAAGAAGTAACACAGCCCAGCCAGGAGCACATCCGAAGTATTTACCAAGGGCTGGTTCAGATGCTCGTGTGGTGTCACACGGGCATGTTCTAGGACAGGAGTGCATGCCCACCTCTATCTTGCATGACTGCTCTCTTGACAGACACTGTTAAGTCTCCGTATCTAGTTCTTCTTGTCCTTCCTTGACATTTGCTTCTCTTTTAATTGGCTTTATGGGAATTTCTTCAGTCAGCAACTCTATCAAAACAAGTCTGACTTTTGTTTGTAAAGTGTTTACCTAGAATGATTCCAGCCACAGAAATGTGAAGGATGAGACACCTACACATGCACATTAACCTCTGTTTCCATGGCTTGATTTGATTCTATTTGATTTGATGTCTTCAAAAATTTGCTGGGTGCTGGGCCATTTACAAAAAACTGTTTGCATAGTTCTTGCCAGCAGAAATTACAATTCTGCTTATCTCAGGCAGTACAGACACTTCACATGTGAGCTGTGCTATGGGACTCTTAAGTGGGTATAAAGTAAATGTTATCTAAATGAAAATAATCTCCTGCTCTGTCATCCCAGATCAGAAAACATTTTCTGCTGTCTCAAGCCTTCCCCTTGCATGTCAAAGAGGGCGGGAGAAGGAAAGCCTTGGCAGACTGAGGGCCCAGTGGGTGCCTGGGCCCAGGGAGCTGCTTAGGGGCCTGGCAGGGCTGGCTGTGCACCCCAGGAGGAGACTGCTCAGTTGCCATAATAGCCCAGGGCCCACTGAGGATGCTGGAAAGCACAGGAGAGGCTCAAGTCCCTGTGAGAGCACCTGTACAAGCCTTGCCACCAGAAAAGCCAAGGGCAAATGTGTTTTCCAAGCACTCTGGGAAGCAGCAGCCTTGCCAGGTGAGCTCCCTGCCAGCTGGGAGAGAGAGCAGGAGCAGGAGGGCAGAGAGCAGCAGTGCCTGGGTTCTGCTGACACATCCAGCAGCACTGCTGGGCGTCAGTAGGTCACACAGCCCGTGACAAGGGTCTGCAGATTAGGCTGCTCTCAAGTGCTGCAGGAGCAGAGGGGCTGGATGAGAATCAGAATGAGAATTAATGCTGAAGAGAGTCACTCCTTAATGTAAGTAGGTGATATTTTAAAATGGTTTTTCAAGCCTGTTCATTTCGCCTGTTTTTTTAGCATGTGTTAAACTGTCCCCGTTCCTGGAACAGGCAGACGCGGAGGCTCACTCTGCTGGGCTGTTTCTGCTTATGGAAAATTTCAGATTTCTTTTGTTTGGCACCCAGAGCAGCAGGTCCCCACCATTCCCCCGTTCCCGAGGGACACTCGTGTCTCTAACTGGCGCAGCATTGGAGCATCTGATGGGCTTTCTCTTACAATTTCTAAGGAGCAAAGAGAGGTTATTCTCCTTTTGCACATGCTGCAGAGCCCACAGGTGAATCAGGGCCTGAGCTCTTTGCTGGAGCAATTCTCCACAGCTTTGCACTAACTACTCCAAGGTGCATCTCTGACATGTGGACATCCTAAATTCTGATTGCTCACTACCTCTATACTACACTTGAGATGGAGCCTGGATCTTTTCAAGCAGCACCTGATTTTTTTTTTTTTTATTTGAAAATAACTAAAACGGCAGAACATTTAGGGCTATAAACCATTTCACACCATTCCCAGCTCCTTTGCACAGTGTGAGGAATGAAGAAATAGCATAAAGGTCCCTTTTCCACATGCTTTTTCCCCTTGAAGATACCATGAAAACATGGATACTCACTGCTGGTCAAGGTTGTTGTTCTCTGGGCCTGGTGGGCTTCTGAGTGACAAAGCCTAGGACAGAAGACAAGACAGTTACAACACTTTGAAGTCAAGGAAGGTGATTCTGCCCCTCTGCTCTGCTCATGTTAGACCCCACCTGCAGTGCTCTATCCAGGTCTGGCGTTCTCAGCACGGGAAGGACATGGACCTGTTGGAATGAGTCCAGAGGGGGACCATGAAAATGATCAGAGACATGGAGCACCTTTCCTGTGGGGCTGAGGTAGTTGGGGTTGGTCAGCCTGGAGAGCAGAAGGCTCTGGGGATACCTTATTGCAACCTTTCAGTACTTAAAGGAGGGCTACAAGAAAGATGGAGAGGGGCTGTTTACAAGACCTGTAGTGACAGGACAAGGGGCAATGGTTTTAAACTGCAAGGGCAGATTTAGATTAGATCGGGGATTTGAAATTAGCTTATCTTCAAAGTTCCCTTTCAACCCAAAGCATTATTTCTTTCTATGAAACCTATCTCTGTCTACAGTGGGCAACCTGTCCTAGTTTAAACTCCCTGGTTTGGTTTAACTCTCAAACAACCTCTGTGGAGACAATACAGGTACAAGAGACTCTCCCTTCCCAGCCCTGTTGTGCCAGCTCTGTTTCAGTACTCAGGCCAGCTGGGTGGCTGCTGGCTACAGAACCAAACCCTGAACACTGACCTGTCAAACCTCCCAGTTTTCCATGAATGCCCGCTGTGCCACCAGCTGCAGGTAACATATGAAAATACCTGCTAAGGGAGGAAGCCATAGCAACATCAACCCAATTTTAACCTGACAAAGATGTTTCCTGGAAAAATTATCCATCTGGGGTGAAACATCCATCTTCCCTATGCTGGTATCTTCAGGCTTTTAACGGGATACCTGGGGAGCACCCAAAGTGGAACCCAACAGTATTTAAAGTGGAGGCAGGGATGGCACCGTCCATCCCCAGCTGGGCCAGTAATGACATGAACCCTCTCTAGCCAAATACTACTGAGAATAATGTATCTCTCATGTTTTTCTACCTTTTCACTGTATTCTCACCGGGAAAGGGAGTGGGACAGGGATTTGTATCTTGGCTTATAATTACCTTTTCTGAGGTGCACTCCTGCAGCTGGTGGCCTCCTTCATACAAGGTACCCTGAATCTCACAACAACACTAACAAGTTAAACAGGTAGCACCAAACCAAGGCCTTCCAGAAAACAGAAATGAAAAGCTGTTCCATCAGTGCGGAAGAGAGGAAAGTATTTTCTGTACAAGAAAAAAGGGAAGTGTCTTGGTTTGAAAGACAGGAGGCAGGAGCCTCCCTTGGAATGGAAAATGTAAACACCTTCCCTCTGAATTATTATAATTTTGAAATTAAGGGGCTCTCAGGCAAAGATATGAGAATAAGAATAGCAGTTCTTTACTAGTACGTATGACAAAGCAAATAAACAACATTGACAGTGAACACAAACCAGGCCCAGCCTCGGCCGCGGTGCTTTCCCTGAGGTGCAGTTCCGGGCACGGCCGGCAGGGGCGCTGCGGCTCCCGGCGGGCGGGGCGGGGGCGGTGCCTCCCCGCGCCTGCAGGGGGCGCTGCGGCTAATGGCGGCTGGGCCCCGGCGGGAGGGAAGGGAGGGATGGGAGGGATGGGAGCGATGGGAGGGATGGGAGCGATGGAAGGGATGGGAGCGATGGGAGCGATGGGAGCGATGGAAGGGATGGAAGCGATGGGAGGGATGGGAGCGATGGGAGCGATGGGAGCGATGGAAGGGATGGGAGTGATGGGAGCGATGGGAGCGATGGGAGGGATGGGAGCGATGGAAGGGATGGGAGCGATGGGAGCGATGGAAGGGATGGAAGGGAGGGTTTGCTTCACCAGCCCGGGGACAGCCGATCCCGGTGTCCCAGCAGGACTCTGGGAAGCAGCTCGCTGGGCCAGCAGGACGCTCGGCAGGCAGGGAGGGGGTGCGAGGCTGAGTGCAGCGAAAGCTCGGAGCAGCGCAGGAGAGACAGTGGGTGCAGGGCAGCGGCAGCCTGGCTCCCAGCAGGGCAGGGAGAGCCCAGCTCAGGATCCCGGTACCCGAGCAGACGGTGATGGTCCCTCTTTTAGTGAGGCAGGTCTTAATAAGGTCCCAGTTCAGTGGCTGCTCTCATGAGCAGAGGCTCATCCCATCTGAAGCCGAGAGAGAGAGAGAGAGCAAAAGGACAGAAACCTAACCACCAACAGGAGGCAAAGGAACCAGGGGGAGGTGTGGAAAAGCTTAGAATGCAGAGTCATTTTCTGTTCCTCTGCTGTGTTTCTGCAGGGCTGGATGGGATCAAGTGATTCCTCAGTAAGATCACGTATATGCTCTTAGAATAGCTCAAACCTGTGCTGCCTCAAGGTCATGCATGGGACTGGTGCTGGAAAGTGTGGCAGCAATGGAGGGGCAATGCCTCACTATAGGCACTGCTGCCTACAACAGTGATGCCTTCACACAGTTTTGTGCCAATTAAAACCTGTTGGTATTTGTCAGGCTTGTATGTGCCATCCACTAGGTAGAAATGTCCACCTGGGTGTCATATTTCATGACACCTGATTTTAATTTGCAAGGATATTTTTTCACTGCAGTCCTTCCTCAGCTGCTTCTCATGTGGAATGGACAGGAGTTGAAGTTTAAACACTGTGGTCTCAGACACTGCGAGGCAGACAGAGAGGTGCTTGGCAGTGAACTGCTGAGTTCTTCCCTGCCTCTTGCAAGGGCTTTGTGCTGCTGTGGTCACCTTTGGCTCCCATGCTTCAGCAAGTGAAGAGAGCTGCAGCAAGGACACCTCTCTCACGGCTCTGGGTGAACATCTCTTCCAGGTGAGCCCTTACTAGCTTCCATTTCAGGAGCTGGGAAAGGATATCTGTTATACACTGTATTCACATCCTGGCTTCCAGCTTAAAATGACAAAAATGCTGCCAGTCTTTCATAGAGTTTTAGTGTAATACCTGTCAAAAGGCATTCCATATCCTTTCAGAAGAGCCCCTGCTCTTTGTCAACACTTTGTTTTCTCTGGAAGAGGCTGAACTAGTCTAGAAAGAGCTTCTGGGTCCAAGCAGAGACAAGGGTATGTGAGAAAGCTGACAATGAGGGAAGACAGTTCTCTCCTGGTTATTTACAATTGTTTCTTGGCAATCTCCCACATGTAACAAGAGCAAGAAGCAGTGCCAGGAGAACAGCATGCTGAGCTCCAATGGCTGACTTCTCCTGGGATTGTATCCCACAATGCAGCTCCTCATCCATCATCCACTGGACTACTGCTGGAGCCCGAGTTTCCTTCCACCAGGTGAAGAACATTATTCATCCTCAGCACTGAGGGAAACAGAGTTCTTCAGGAGTGCTTTGATATTTTTCGTGAGAACCCAGCTTCCAATACTTCTGTGCAAAGGACAGGTTTGGATCATTTTAGAGAGGCGGCTGGATTGTACAGTAGGTTGTCTGTTTTTTCTTCTTGTGTCTGACTCCTCCATATTACGAGCTGTACGTGTTGTGTGGGTGGAAGACAGAATTAATTCGTCATCAGGATAGTGCAGCTCTGGTTAGCAGAATCTGCTTCTCTGTGCAAAACCTGCTCCCACCTCTTCCAAGGGATCTGTCAGCAGCAGTACTTATTTCCCAAGAGAATTTGGATCTGGCACATGTAGATTTCTACCAACATTTCATCCAGTGCATGACTCAAAAACGGTGGCAAGTAAAAACAAAAGGCCTTTTCCCTGCCATGAGCGTCTCCATGGTTTGGGAGCTGCTCCCCATCCCTGCGGGCAAGGGACCCCTGGCTCGGCGGTGCCCGGGTGACACCGTGTGCCGAGCAGCAGGCAGGGCACAGAGCACCGCCTGCCCTGGGCTGTGAGACACCATAAAACTGACCCCACCCAGCCGGCTGGGGATTGCTGTAATGGGTGTCTTGCAAGTTCAGCAGATAATTAGTGTCAGCCCTTTATGTGGGTTAGGATGATGTGCATGTCAGGACACTTTAATATTATGGGTTCCTACCCTACAGCTAAATAAGTAATTGCTGGCCTGGTTGGCCTGTGTCCTGGTAAGAGTTAAATGAAGTCAGCTTCTCCTTTCTGCAGCTCGCAGTCATCTTTTTATTACTCATCTAGACCATGGCGTGTTGTCTTGTTTTCCACCCCATTCTCAGCACAGGCATCCTGTGCTGACGTCTGCTGTGCCACAGAACCCCACATCACCCCCTCCTCCAAGTTAAAGGCTTGGATATTAAGCTCACCCAGTATGTATCCACATTTAATTTAATGTCATTTCATGTGGGGTGGAATGGTTTGTCAGTCATTGCTCACAGAGTTCAGCCATCCTTTAGGGCAGCAGCTCCTGGGAGCATGGCAGAGCTGGGAGCAAGAGCTATTTCTCTCTGCTGCACGCAAAAACCAGCATTCCTGGGGTGCAGCTTCCCACTCACCCCAATCCAGCCCAAGTTCCTTGTGGCCCTGCCATGAGGGCCCAGCCCTTAACCCCCTACTTTCTCTGTTAGCTCCAGCAGCTGTGAATAAGCTGGGTAAGAACGCCCTTTCCTGGAACCTTCCACAGGGTGATCTGGAGCCATGTACCTCTGGAAGCTCTAGAACTGCTCCCAAGCTGCACTGAAACCAGCCAGCTACAGTCTTGATTAACATTGTCTCCAAAACTCAGAGGCCAAATTCAAGCCCTCTTTGAGATGGTCCCTGTGCTGCTCCCCCTAAGCAATGCCCAGGCATTATTTGGGAGACTACAAGCTGGTCCTAACCAAAAATCATGCCAGCTCAGTGGGGCAGACCATCAAGGTCCAGCACTGGGCAGCTGCTATGGTGCATTTACCAGTATGGCTACAGCTCCGAGATGCAGTAGAAATACAGACTCTGAGTGCAGCTCAGGGGCAACTCACGTCCAAGGAGTGACTGAGCCACGTGAAGGATCTACACAGGAGCAGTGTGGTCTCTGCCAGTGCTGGTCCACTTGGTGGGCTTTAATAATGCAGAGTTTCTGAAACATGTATGCCAGTGCCTCTTTCCCTGCCTCTGCAGCACCCTGCAGCAATGCAGCACAGGACTGGGGCTGGGACAGGCAGCACTGCTGGCATCAAGCCTCTCCAACCTGCAGCCAGTTACTGCTGGCTAAAAAAAGTCACTTACCTAGGGTGCCAGTAGATACCAAATGTGACACACGGCCCCAGCCCCCAGCTGTACCCCAGGCAAAGCACTTCCAGCTTTGCTTTGGTCTGCAGCAACATCCTCTGGCCAGTGAAGGAATTAGGAGCAGGCGGTGGACGGGAAGTGGGCGGGGATGCAAGGAATTCCCACGCTTCTCCTCTCCTGCCAACTAAAACAGCAGCTCCCAGCTATTCTGTACATGCCCTGGGCTTATTTTTTAGATCATGCATAGTTTCCAGGGCAAAAGCCACCCATGCTCTGCCATGTGAAAGGGGAGAGTTGTGGAAAATACCTAGTCAGCAGTTTTCCAAGTCCAGGTGCAGCACAGCTGTGCTGGGAGGGTGATGCTGACTGAGGGGACAGCCCAGCTCACTGCTTCTGGGCTCGGGTAAAGCTTCAGGGGCTTTGAACAAGACAAGAAATACAACAGCACAGAAAGGGAGACCTTTAACTCAGCAACTGCCAGATCTACAACTGGACATTAACTGCAGAATCTGAAATAATCTGACTTTGGGAAGTTCAGGGAGTCCCAGATATTAAGAGGGAAATGACATTTTCTAAAGGCCCCATGCTCCCTATGAAAGTGTAGCACAATGTCTTGATTCGAGGGCATTTTTGACTATTAAGACAACCAGGAAGAAAATGTTGAAATAAACTGCTAACAACGTGGAATTAGAAAGATGAAATTTCTGTTTGAGGGAAGTTCATTTTAACAAGAGTAAAAAAATAAACCTGAGTTCCTGTAAGAAGCTAATGGGGCATGGCATTTAATGTTCCTTCAGGACCCTTTTGTGTTTGCAGCTGGGGATCAGCCAGCCACGAGGTGACGCTGTACCACATCAGTCTGCAGAGAAAACATCTGGCTGAAAAAATCAGGCAAAGGTTTGAACACTCGAGTGTTTTAAAATTATATGATAAT